ACCTTATGATTACAGAGCTGTTTTATTCACATATTCTTAATATAAACAAAGGTTCCATTCCGTACAAGAAGTTTCAAGTGTATACACCTGTCTGTCTTTAAATACCGTTTAACAAAAAATGGCTTTTCAGGGCCGAAAAGTTTCTGGGGCCCGTTTCTCGAAAGTCCCGGAAACTTCTCGGGCCCGCAAAGCCATTTTTAGTTAATTGGTATTTAAAGACAAAGAGGTGTATACGCCTGAAATTTATTGTATAAAGAGAACCTCTGTTCAGATTAAGAATATGTGCATAAAACAGTTCTCAGGTCGTAAGGTTTGAGATTTTGTTACGGCTTTTCGGGACCGAGAAACGGGCCCCTCGAAGGTCCCGAAAATTTTTCGCACCCGGACGGCCGTAGCAAAATCTCGAAGCTTATGCTTACAGAGCTGTTTTATTCACGTATTCTTAAAATGAACAGAGGTTCTTATCATACAAGAAGTTTCAGGCGTATGCACTTCTCCGTTTCTAGATACAGATGAAATAAAAATGGCTTTGCGATCACCAAGGTGCCACCCGCTCTTCACTGCTTTGATTTACATTTGACGCAAGTCTTTGACAAGAGCTGTTCAAGTATACAAAAAAAAAGAAGCTAGCTAGTAAGCTTTATATACGAAAGCTTAAATTTATTTCGATGGTAAAAAATCACAATGTTTGACTGAAACTGCTCAGATATCGAAAGTTTCAGGACATTGATTTCTTTTAATAGTTGTTAAGATGACAACTGCAGTCTTGTTTGTATATAAATTTCAGACTCCGATGTCATCTACGCTATCGTGGTTTATGTTGTCAAAAAATAAATAAATAAATAAATAAATATATACTGCAATGCCAATATCTAACTTAACAAGGTTTCAAACCCACAAGAAATCAAAGTTTAACCGCTAAGCTATCGCTTCTGTACCCGTTTTCTTCTTGGATCCTTCTTGACATGAATTCACTGTCGAATTCAAAGTTTGATGCACAGTTTTTAACGCGACCGCTCCGCGCCAGGCTAAAGAATGGCGGGAAAGTGGGTGCACGCGCGCCTCTTTTGGCGCCAAATAACTATTCTTTGCCTCGCTGTCTCAACTTCACGATTTCCTAAAACACGCAGTCATTATAAACTGGACGAACAAATTTCATCGACATAAAGGGAATATAAAACCTATGATATTTTGTTCACTGGGGAATGATCTCAGCTAAACTGAAAAGAACATCAAGGTAAGAGTAGTTCACGTTCAAGAATTTTCTCGTCCGATCGATCTATTTTCTAGAGCTTACACTAATGTCTATAATCGTTGGTTATTATTAAGCTTATCATTGCTGTTTTAAACCAGCTATCTAGAGCTGTACCTACAGTAACACTTCTTAAGTTTCGTAAGACAGGGGACATTTCCAGCATTGATAGGGCCTCTGGGTCACTAGTTTCTCCAAGAGAACAAATAGTTAAGGCACATGATACCAAATTTACCATAAGCTTACATTCTTTTAAGTAAGACAAAACTCTCTTGTGATGTATGGCTATCATGTGATTGTCATACTGCCCTCCACTGAGTTATTGCGTAATAAATATAAAATTCCTCAAGGAACATTTACCTCTTTTTCTGAGGATATCATTGCTGGAGACCCTTATGACCTTTTGAGTAAAGCACACATTATAACCCAGATTTTACATTGTGATGAAAAATGTGTAGTGGAAACATAAAATGAGGACAATAAGGACGTTTTTTTTTAGTATTGGTGCTAGCTTTGACAGTTGAAAGTTAGGGCAAGAGTAACGCTAGGGTTACCCTTCCCTAGCCCAAACCCTAGGGTAAGCATTAGGGTTAGGGTGAGATTTTCTTTACTCTTTTTCAATCGGGATTCTACTGTATTTTCGGAATGAAAATAGTTCCATTAGGCGTGAGAATTGTGAACGTTTTTGGTTTTACTGCGATTTGAGTGCGTTTGTACAACACTCACGCTTTCGGGCATTGTGTAATTTTTTTAGGCAATAAGGTCACCAACCCCCAAGTCTGAAGGTGCCCGTACGACTATG